GTTGTCCTGGTGAAATATGACACCTTTACGATTGACAAATTCTGGTCGCTTCTCCTTGATGGCAATTCAATTTGTCCAATTGTTGACAGTAAACATCCGAATTAATCGTTTGGTTTCTTGGAAGCAGCTCAAAATATACGACACCCTTCCAATCCCACCAAACAGACAGCATAATCTTCTTTTGGTGGATATCAGCCTTTGAAGTGGTTTGAGCTGGTTCACCATGCTTGGACCATGATCGTTTTCGACTAACGTTGTTGTAAACAATCCATTTTTCATCTCCAGTTATGATTCGTTTTAAAAACGGATCGAATTCATTGCGTTTAAGGTGCATATCACAAGCGTTGATTCGGTGTGTTAAATGAATTTCTTTCAATACATGTGGTACCCAAATATCAAGCTTTTTCACCAGTCCAAGACTTTTTATGTGATAATGAACGGTTGATTTTGGTATATTTAACTTCTCTCCTATCTCACGCTCAGTTACATGACGATCCAATTCGATTAATGCTTTGATTTGGTCATCATCAACTTCATTTGGCCGACCTGAACGTGGCTCATCTTTAAGTGAAAAATCTCCAGAACGGAATTTGCGAAACCAATTTTGACACTGTCTTCCTTTTAAGGCTTCATCACCATACACATCTCGTAACTTTTTAGCAACCTGCTCCGCGTTTTTTCCTTTACGGAAATAATAAAGTAAAATATGACGAAAATGCTTCTTTGTGGGCTCCATATTAAAATTGACGCCAAACAAACAAATGTAAACTTAATTCCGCGCACTTTTTCAAAAGCAAGCTAAAAGTAACAGCTGATAACTGACAGAAGAAAGAATGCAATTACAGAGTCACAAGCCGTTGAAAAAATTTGTCAACGCCGACTATATGAAAAATCCGCAATTACTTTTTGGGCAACCCAATATTTCATCTATTGACTTCTTAAAGTGTGAGCCTATTTAGGTGTGTTTGCGTAAAATTCAATTCGTTGATGAGGATGAGTAAAAGGGGATTTTGTGGGGTAATTTTTGCCTTTGTGGTTCTACTTATTTCGCTCAACGTTTCCTGACATGTGTCCAGGTCTATCTTATGTATTATTCTGTTAGTTCCGGTCTGCATTTTTGTCAGACCTGTTTCGAATGTAGCCAGTTGTGAGTTCGTGTAGTCGATTGTTTTTAAGTCTGCGCACACTAAATGTACGAGGAATCTGTAAGAGAGGGGTGAGACAAAAATGCCATTTACTATCGTCTGATATTATTTTTCTGTACTGTTTGTCATTTTTCTGTGATTATTACGTTGAATTTTTTCTCCTTTACTATTTCTTTCCTATATCTTGCAATAAGTTTAGATCCTAATCGTTTATTTATCCTGACGTAAATTATGTCACCAAGGGAATATGTTTTCATGGGTTGTCTTGTTTTGTTATGGGTGAATTGAATGGAAGCTGATTTCAATGATTTTTCGTTGTCGATAACTATTGTATTTGGTACGCCGAAGGCGAAAAGTATTTGTTTTAGCGGTTCTCTGATATCTTCTATTGATTTTGACTCTATTCTCCTATTTGGCGCATACTTCGAAAACTTGACTACCGCTGTTAGTACTAGTTTTCTTTCTGGATTATAAATGTCTACACGTATGTATACTATTTCGCCGGAATTTGTGGTAATTGGGGTTTCTAATAGTTGTGGTTTATTAGGTTGTCGATCATTTTTTTTTTTTACAAGTTTTGCTTTGCTTTTTTATATATTCTATTTTTGTCTTCATTTTAGGAAAATAAATTAGCTGTTTTTTATTTTCGTCCTTATCCCTGTGAGCTAGTTTATGTTATTTTAAGATTTCTTCACTTCGTGTATCCTCGTTTACCAAATCTTTTTTTTTTTCTTTGGGTGTAGCGAATTTTATAGTTGAAAAAAATGGAATGGATAAACTTCTTGATTTTTCCCATTATTTTTTCAGATGTAAATATGCCATTTATCACTGAAGGACTTAGGTAACTCTTCAGTAGTGCAGTTAGGTTTTCTATTGAATAATTGGGCTTAATTATTATGTGCCTATAGTATGTTGGGAATGAAATTTTAAATTGATAGGTGTCTTCATCTCCTATTGAGATCCAAAGTTGATTCTTGAAGGCGTTTATAGGTCCTTCTACTGTACTATAGCTACTGATAAAGAATTTACTTCGATTGGTCTTGATAATGTGTCGGCAACCACATTTGATTTTTCAGGTTTGTATTTAATTTTGTAATTGTACTCTTCCAGAATTGCTTTCCTTCGTTTTAGTTTAGTTTTATTGTTTTTGTTGCTCAGAGCGTAAGTGAGTGGTTGGTGGTCTGAATGGATTATTACTTTAGCTGATCCATACAAATAATTTCTAAACGGTTCAGTGCCCAAATTATAGCGAGCATTTCCTTTTCATTTACAGCGTCATTTTTTTTGCTTTGTTTAGTGTCCTTGATATAAAGGTGTTCGGTTTCCTGTTTTGTTCTAGAACTGCGCATATAGCATATTGCGAGGCATCAGTGGTAAGGTCAAAGTCTTTGTTACAATCGGGGTACTGCAATATTCCGTCTTTGGGTATCAGGGTGGATTTGAACTCATTAAATGCCGCCTTTGCAATTTCATTTAAATTTATCCGTATTTTGTTTGAGCAGCTTTTTGAAATTTTTCTTTCTTCACCTCGAAGTAGAGACCCAGACCGGCGAGTTGTAAGGAGATCTTGATTTTCTTATAATGCCATCTTCAAGCAATTTTTTCTCTTGCTTTTCGAGCTCTTGCTTTAGGCTGATGGGGTATGGGTATGATTTGGCGTATACAGGAATGTCTGAGGCTGTTCGCATTTCCGTCCTGTGCTGTGCTGTCCTGTGCTCGTCCCTAATTTGTATTTTGTTGATACTTTCGATTCTGTATTGTCTTAGGTAGATTTTTTTGTATTTGCTATAACCAACTTCTCTGGTGTGTATGACTGCTTTCAAACTGTCTTTTTTTGGTACAGCGTGAGTGTGGGTAGTAGGAAGAACTTTAGTCTACAATCTTTAAAGTTAAAAGGGTTTAAAAATGTGTGGTGAGTAATTTTGGGAATATTTTTGCGAGCTGTAGGGATTAAAATTTTGTTGACGATAGTTTTGTGGAGGTTGTGGTATATGGGCCAGTTCGATTGAGGAAATGGGTTTGCTGGTTATACATATCTTGGGGGGACTAGTTGTTGTCTGGTATAAGTGCCATGAGGCTTTGTTGGCGGGAAGCTGGTGGTGTATAAAACATTTGGTTGATGGCATGGCTTGCTCTGAAATTCTGATCTTCTAACTTCAGACAAAGATATACGGCTTCTGGTAGGCAATTTGGCTCTCTTATACCTAGGAGTCTCGAAAAATCACAAGAATTCTCTCCCGAATGTATCGAGGGCTTTAGCACGGTAGTTGTCCGTTAGAAAATAAACCGCTTCTTCATCGATCTCCATGCCTCCGATTGAAGATAAATGAAAGGTGGCTATAAACTTTTTGATAAAACTCGTTTATAGTCAGTCTATGTCTCTTTTGTCGGTATAGTGTGTGGTTAAACAACGGGAAACTGATGTCCAATCCACAGGGGTATTGTAAGATCTAGGGAAATATCTGCCTTTCCCATTTTTAATCCCTTTAATAATTAAAATGCCGAAGTATTTAGGAGTTCCCTCTGAGGGCTCATATATCTTCAAAATACGCTCGACACTTTTTTCCACGAGCTGAATTCTGTGGCGTTCCCCGAGAATTATCTTAAAGATCTCACAACGTCTGGAATTTTATCCATTTCTACCATATTTTATTCTATTGATGCTCTATGGTCTGATCTGTTATAATTGCGTTATTGTTAATGCTTAGAGTAATCCTGATAAGTTCTAGCCCACTGGCTTCTTTAGCCTGGGAAACCATAGTTCGTATCATATTTATTATCTCTGGGAAAATATGTTGGGCCGGTGAAGGTGGTGTTGTATTGCTTAACACAGTGGGTCTTATTTGTTTATTTTGATTCAAGATTTTTGTAATTATTGTATTATCTATTTTTATTTTGTTGGTATTAATTTATTCTTTATATTTTTGTTTAATTGATAAATCCCTGGAGGGTCCGTTAAGTTGTGAATCGCAGTGACTTTTTATGTTATAAGCAGGAGGATCCCCGAAGGTGGTGAATCGCAATGTTTAAATTTATAGGCTGTACAAGCCAATTTGTTATTTTTGGGTATTAGCTATTTCTATTCTCTAAAATATTTTTTATTTAAATTTTTTACTTCTTGGGAATGTATCTATTTTCTTTCTATAACTAATTTTATTTTATTAAAATCAAAAATTATAACTTATAATCTGCTTCCTTACTTAAGTAACAGCTGCATTGTTTGGATAAGTGTGCTTATGTCCTTCTTCCTTATGGCACTCGAGAGCTTTTGCTTACTTCTTGCCACTTTCCGGGTCGGCTGGTGTCGTGTTGTCGTTGGGGCGTCTAGGAAGTTCCACGTTCCTCTCCACGTCACTTTATCTACAATTTTTTTTGGTGCGTTTTATATCATTTTTTGCTTTTTTGGTGCTTTTTTGTGGCCTTTTTTTAAAAAGATCTGTCTTTGTTTTTGGCACTTTATTGTGGCAAATTTTCTTTTAGAGTCTTTAGTTTGTGGCACTTGATTGTTGCACGTTTCTTAAAAAAGTCTCACTATTTGCGGCACTTTAACTCTGTGCACTTTTAACGACTAACACTAGACAACGCCGAGCTTATTTGACTCGGGCGACAATTAACGGCTTGGCTATTGCAAGCCCAAAAAAAATTAAATATAATTAAATAAAATTAAATATAATTAGTTTTTTTGTGGTCAGTAGACCTTTATTCTTGTACTAAATTTCTACAACTAATCAGCTATACTTATTTCACTCTTACTTATACCCTATTTCTACCTAAATCAGCAATATGTTGGCTGGTGCTGGGTCGGGGCATGCCGGATGTTATTTCAAGTGATTTATTTTGCTTATTCGATTTTAGGTCGATGCAGCATTTTGATCGGCGCATGTCGGATATTGCGTTGGCGATATAAGTAATTTTTCTGAGCGCAATTCTTTGTAATTGTGGATTTAGCGCGATGGTATTGGTGGCAGCTTTGGTTGTAGCTTAGCTGGTGCTACCTTGTATATGCGAACAAGTCGATATATGCAATTGAAAACATATGGACACACGAAAACGAGTAAAAATATATATACGCACAAATAAGGAGAAAAAAATAATGGAAATACTCCTGCAATAATTCGAAGGAGAAATATGTATTAAATTATATACAATAAAATCACAGTTGATCGAGCGATGAAAGTCAAAATAAAAGCCGGTGCCCCGACAAAACTCACATCAAGTGTTCTAGCGACTAAAGTGACCAAAATAACGAGGCAGAGCAAAAAGGACGTGTACCAGTGAGTCTGCGTCAACAATATTTGGACGAAGCGAGAAAGATGCAGGTAGCAGCGGTAGCGACGACTAAGAAGGCCTGTTGCGCGCACCCACACCAATCACAACATCGCCCGAGAGCGAGAAGGAACAGGCGGCGAAGCGAAGAGGAGAACTCGAAATATCCGAAGAAGACGGTGAATATATATATATATATATATATATATCAACATAATATAATATTATATACATAAATTAACATACATATTTGAATTATTGCAAATTAAAATAAAGAGGCAGGTTATATACCTATATTTATGTGCTGAAGCCTATGAGCATGCTCGAACATAAATTAATTTGTGTGCATATACATACGCACAAATAAAATAAGTAGAAAACTGTACGCAGCAATAAGTTGTTCTTATAGAATAACATTCTGCCTGCGTGCAGAAGTATATATATTGTTTATAACTAATAATTTTGTTGTAGCGAAAATAGGGTGTTGTTATTTTAGGAGACCTTTGGCAATGCAGAGCTTACTCCAACCAAGTGGAAAGTCCGTTATAACATTATGAACATGATGCTCCGCATTTGCAACAAGGCAACCATCAATTGACCCAGCAAACACAGCAACAACAACAGCCACTATTATATACAATTGACGCTTTGCAACCACTGAAGCGATTTTCAGCCGAGTTCTTCTTCTAATTTGTGGTTTTACGTCTTGCTGTTTTTACAACAAATGGAGATACCGCCTCCGAATGGCGGACGGTTTTTTTTAGGACCTTTATTTCATGTCGTAAATACACTGCCGAAGGCGATCGCTTTGTTAACTTTTTGGATGTTAGTACTACACGAAGGCAGTGCGCAATGCTAACCACTATTACATCATACTAATGAGGAAATATTATATAGGCATTTGAATTTAGTTTACGTAAAATATTTTTTTATTTTGCATTTGCGAAGTAAGTACGAGTAACAGTTGTGTTTGATATTGTTGTTCGTGAAGAGGGCAGCTCATGTATTTTTGTTTCTATTTATGTATCATTTATAGTGACGAGCGATCCCGTTGTCAACAAATGGCGCTTAATTAAATGTGTGCAAGTCGTTGGTTGGTTCATTGGTAGCACGCTGACTTGAAGATTGTGCGAATGTTCTGGCATGAGTAAGCGATGATTTGTGTGTGTTGGCCGCTTCGTATGGCCGAGAAACTAATGGGTTTAACGTTATCAAATGCTTTCTACTAAAGCGTTGTTACCGTACCCGCAGCTGGTTGCACGTATTTGATGAATGGCTGTATGGAAGAAAATTTTTGTCAGCTAACGCGTGCGATACGTAAAAGTAAGCCTAAGTTACGATTAAGTTACCAAACAATTATATAAGCTTGTTGCAAATATCTTATTCTTTTACTTTATTTAAAGGGATTTGAGCAGAACGGCTACTTCTCATCAAAAGGAGAGGGGAAGAGGAGTCCAAATCTATCATAGTCGTTTACAGAACCTGGGTTAATCAAATGCAGAAGCTTTATAAATTCATCTTACATTTTATGATTCACTGTATACTGACTAAAACCCATAAGGACTGCTGCTACCCGATGACTGCGGCCACATACCATCCAATGTAAAAAGAAAATAACTTCATTTTCCCTCGACCATCCGTGATGTTTAGTGGAAATCAATTGAAAAATTTGTATGAAGGTGCTGGAAGAGTTTCTTAAATATGTTCGGATTTTCCTTTCATCACCGGACATAATTGCACTGATTACCATGGATATAACCCTCGGATGAAGGTAAGCAATTGCCCAAAAACAATACTTACTTACTTTACTGACGTAGGCACCGCTTACGCGATTATAGCCGATTTAAAAATATTGCTGTTTTGCTGTATGGTACTAATTGGAAATACCAAGTACAGCTAGCTCTTTCTCTACCTAGTGTTTCCAACGAAGTTGAGGTCTTCTATTCATCTGTTGTACCATTCAGCAGGACGGGAACGATGAGGGATTTGTAGAGTTTGGTTTTCGTTGGCAGAAAACATTACTGTAGTTCTACGCTTGATTTCCAGGATGACATTATTGTTGGTGTTGCTGCTGGTTCGTAGATAGACAAAAATATCTACGACTTCAAAGTTATGACTGTCAAGAGTAAGGTGGGAGCCGAGTCGATAATTTGATGACTGTTTGTTTGATGACTGGAGCTATTTCATCTTGCCCTCATTTACTACCAGAACGGCTCGGAGAGTTCCTTCCCAATTCTAACAGCGCTTGTGGTGTTGTCTAGCGTCAGCTTACACAGCCGTATAAGTTTTGTGGGCTTACCAAATTCAGACATAGCGACATAGAGGCAGCTCCTATTCGGGCTGTATAAGGCGGCTTTAAAGTCAACGAAGGATTGGTGTGTGTTGATCCTTTTTCACGGGTCTTTTCCAAGATTTATCGCATGGTGAATATCTGGTAAATGGTTGACTTACCAGTTTTGAAGCCACACTGACAAGGCCCAATCAGTTTGTTGACGGTGGGCTTCAGTCTTTCCCACAAAACTCTCGACAGAACCTTATAGGCGATATAAAGGAGGCTTATCCCACGGTAATTAGCGCAGACTGCGCGGTCTCCGGATTCTCCATTTTCACTACAATTCAGAAGGTTGAAGAAGTGTTCCCTCCATAAATTCAATATACTCTGGTCATCGGGGGCTAGATCACCCCTTTGGGTTCTACAAGAGTCTGCTCCGGTTTTGAAACCTTCCGTTAGTTGCTGTATCCTTTCGTATTTTAAGCGTTACCCTTGTCGGCCAGATTCTCAATCTTTTTATCTCGGCCTCTTTCTTTTATTGTCTGCATATGCGTCTTGCTTCCCTCTTCATCTCTCGGTAGCTATCCCATCCCGTACGTGTTATGGTCGATCGCAAGGTTGCGAGGTAGGCAGTTTGTTTTCTCTCCACTGCGACACGGCAGTCCTTATCGTTCCAGCTGTTTTTGCGACCTTTTCGAAATCCAACAGTGTTGCTTGCGGCTGTTCCCGTATTCCGAGTTGATGATGAGTGCTCTCAGATAGCAGGAGTGCAAGTAGAGTAGGATATCGTTCGGCAGTCTGTTGTGATTACAGCTTTCCAGCTTCGAAATTTCCTTGTGTTTGTTGACGGGTGTTCTTCGATACACAGAGGCGCATGCGTATCTTCGCTGCAATGAGATAATGGTCCGAGTCGATTTTGGATCCTCGGAGTGTACGCCCACTTAGTGAAGGCACACGTTGTGAAGGCCCACCCTGGCATTAAAATCACCGAGCACGCTTTTCATATCGTGTCAGGGCCAACGCTCGTAAGTATGCATCTCTGGCCAAATTGTCTTTCTCTTCCGTCGGGGCGTGGGCGAAATTCAGCAACATATTGAAAAACGTCGCTTTGATTCGGATTGTATTTCCCAATGAAGGGACATTCCGGGTGCATGCCCTCAAATCGTTATCCTTAATGCGTTTGCGGGGGTCGTCAACAGAAAGGGGGTATCTCATCCGAGATTGTTTTCTTAAGGAAAGTAAAGCAATATTGTTTTAAAAAGGGAGCTCACCGAGCTTTCGAAGCAAAATTTTAAACGCGTTCCTAAGTTTTTTGCGCAGCAAAAGTGCAAATTGGCGGCTGAGGTGAAGGCTTGGTCCATTTATTTCTTACACTTTCCTCCACATATTGTTTTTTCACTCATCTGATTTCAGCTGGAAGAAACATACGTACGTTTCTATTTTAATTTCATTCATACACTTCCTTCGGTTAATACGTCTAATCTGTGCGTCGGGCCACGAAATTATGGGCACACGGTAGCATCTTTCTTGTGGGAATATTGATCAGCCACCATTTTCGCCACAATATGACATAAGCCACTGATTGGCAATTATAAATCCTAAAAGTATGATGCAGATGATTATGCAAACCAGCTGAAGGCTTCATTTTGTATTTAGATTTTGTGTGTATGCCTGTATGTATAAAATACTATTCTGTTGATTTCAACTCGCCTTGAGTAAAGCGCTTCTAAAATGTCTAATGCAAATACTCTTCATTTCTTGCCACCAAATGCTCATTTATTACGCAAGTTCATGTTTTGTACAATATATAAATATACAAATTTTTAAAATATTAGTGTATATATAATCCACCTTCCAGAAAAACTTACAAGGTTCACAGCTTTGAAGAAAATCGTGGCTAAAAACCGACATCGATTTCCTCAGCCGAGCTACCTATGTAAGCGCAAGCACCCTCTAAGTCTGATTTCGCATAAAACCTCCTGAGGAAAGACTACGCGAGGTACTGTTTGGCCGTTTTTGTGTCAATTACTTGTCCATAAACCACCAAGGCTCAAAATTGCTCCAGCGTCGTTAAATGCCGCCGATGCGGAGAAAAACAATGAAATTCTTCACATATCTCAGCCCAGGGTGAATAATCAGAAAGAAGTAATCCAGCCTTGGAGCGAACGAAATGAATCCAGTTATGATGAAGCGCTCACTATTCACATTGAATCCGGAGAGAGAAATTGGTCTTTCCTTCCGACAGAGGAGAAAGCAGAAACTATGACTCTCCGATCCCTCCTCCAGCAGGAACGGCGAACGCACCATCGCCGCGAACGATGATCTTCACAACAAATGGCTACTCATGATAGACTGGATACCAAGACTCTTTATTTACATCGAGTAACCATGTTCAAAAGAGGATATCCGGCCAACAAACGGACTAATATTGAAGCCAACGATAGTGATTTTGCCGGTCGCAGTCATTAAGGTCGAAGCGGAATTTGGTGCATGTCCCCTAAAACAATCATCGCTAGGAATCTTGAGTAAGAGTTGCGCCTAAATGAAATAAGTTACCGCAATCAAAGAGGATGACCACCCGACGAAAATATGGCTTCAATAGAAGCATAACATGCCACGCAATGGAATTCAACAACTTCATGCGCATCCCTTCTTCGGCAACCATCGACCCACCTATCGCCACGCCATATTAACTGATGAGATTGGTGAGCCCACACTTTCACACAGCGTCTTCGATTCACCTCATTTTAGGCGCAGACATGTACACGGAATTGATGATGTCGGCCTTAGCCGGGGTAGTTCGGGGTAATAAAAAGTCAGGATAAGAACCCTCAAGTGCGAAAGTAACTATTCTATGCGAAAAATTGCGCGTACGTTCCACATACATAAATCCAAAAAAAATCTGTTTTGAATATTGAAATAAAAAAAAAATAAAAGAGAACAGCATTTGCTACAAGCAGCAGCGTCGACTCCGGAAGGCATAACCGCTTAATAACTTGCCACAAGAGAGGTTCTACAACAAACACCCCCCACACACACAAAGATGCGGATAAACATACCAAAGACAAGGGAAGTAAAAAGAGCTACTTAGTAGTAAGCTGCAAACTTTTTAATATCCTTTAAAAATTATTGAATTATTAATTCCCGTAGATATCAGTATTTTTCATATACGATATTTACGTATGCATAGTATGTACATATCAGTACATAATTAATTATATACATACAACTAATTGCATTTTTTTAATTTACTTACTTACGGCAGTTTGCAGTTTCCCTATTGTATGCTTTAAGGTCATTGCCCTAATTACCGACTTACTCTACAGCAAAAGTTCAAAATCCTTTAAAATAGCGACTTGACAACAACTTTGGTACTGGTTCTCGATTTGAACGAACTCGACAACGCATCAAACCGAACAACTTACATAAATACTGTTTAATCCGCAAATGAAATGGTCACGTAGGCCGAGCTTTCGTTAAAAAGCTCAAATAGCTCTTTTGCTTTGTCGGATTGTTTTGTTTCCGTTTGCTTTTCACACACTTCTTTGTTGATCTTTACAAGAGGAAATTTGCAGAATCGGTAAGTTGGCTTCCATAAAAATTGTATATAAACATATTACTAATTAGAAATTTTGTTTTATTAATTTAAGCCTTGCAGCGGTTACCACGGCAACCCAATATAGGAATTTCTATTAGGTAAAGTAAGAAGATCGCTCGCTTTCTATCTAAGAGATGGCGTTATTGTCCATAGTACTAAACATACTATTCGGCGTTAGAAACGTGTTTATTTGCGCTAAAAGTTTGTCTTTGACAGTTTTTCGATTGATTGACTCAGTACGTTGTAAGCGCTCGTCAAAGATGGACACCAGCAAAGAGAAATTTCTCTATGTTTTACAATTTTTCTTCGTTCAAGTCTAAAAACCAGTCAAAGCGTTTGAGAAAAACTAATTAAGTTTATGGTCCCGGTACTATAATTGAACGTGTAGCAAAAGTAGTTTGCTAGGTTCCTTTCCGGTAAATTCGATGTCACGCTTCGGGAGGCTTGTCGTCGAAAATTGCGATAAAACCATGGAAATAGTGGAAACAGACCATCACGTGAGCACTTATTTAATTTCTGAGGCACTAAAAATAAGCCAAAAAACCGTTTGGCACCATTTGCATAACCTTGGATTCAAAAAGAAGCTCGATGTTCGGTGCCACACGAAGTAACGCAAAAAAACATGATGGACCGAATTCTCATCTGAATTGCAACAAAATCGACCTTTTTTGAAGCGGATTGTGACTGGCGATGAAAAATGGGTTACGACAACATCGAGCGCAAACGGTCGTGGGCAAAGCTCGGGGAAGCGGCCCAGACGGTGGCCAAGACCGGATAGACGGAAGGTGGGATATGCAGGAATCATCTACTACGAGCTGCTCCCCTATGGCCAAACACTCAATTGGACCGCTTGAAGGCAGCATTCATCCAGAAGAGGCCATCTTTGATCAAGAGAGGCCGAATTGTATTCTATCAGGACAACGCCAGGCCACATAAGTCTTTGGTGACGCGCCAGAAGCTTAAAGAGCTCGGGTGGGAGGTCCTAATGCACCCACCTTACAGTGCGGACCTGGCACCAAGTGTCCATGGCGAACGCCAAGAGAGGCCAATGAAAATTGGTTCCCCGGGTTTTCTGCCAATAAGGACGCAGCCATCTACGAGAGGGGTAAAATGAAGTTGGCACCTCGTTGGCACCAAGTTTACGAGCAAAACGGCGCATATTTGAGAAGTGTACAAAAAGTTATCATATTTTGAAAAAAAAAAAACAATAAAAAACTGAACAAACCTTTTAATTTACTTAATATTAGGTTATAAGTAGGAGTATTCTTTGCGAGAAAGCAACATAGAATTGCAGATTTAATTGCCGTTTTTATATCAGCTCTCATTTAAAAGAAAAAAGGTAAGAGAGTGATTTTAAAGGGTGCTTTCGTAGTTAATGCATCCAATTGCGAATACACATAATTGCAAAGTAAAGTATAATACATATAATTGGCGCTTTGTAACCACTGATGCGATTTTCCGAAGAGTTTCTCCCCCAATTTGCGGTTTCGCGTCTTGATTTTCCAAAAAATGGAGGAACCTACAGTTTATATTAAGCTACCTCCGAACGGCTGATGATTGTTTTCTGAGGAGCCTATATTTCATGTCAGAAATACAATCGGATGGGTTGACATTTCCTGCCGAAAAGGGACCGCAAAATATAAAAAAAAAATTATTTTCAGAAATGTTTTTGTTTCCTTCTATACTTGTACCGAATCAAAGAAATATACCATTAGTCTTTCTTCTTCATATTCAGTTAAATGTACGAAAGAATTGTTCTCCCTGCTCGCACTTCGTCCACGGTCGACTTCGCTGATTTGCACAGTGCGCGCTCGTGCATGCGAACAATGCGTACATTACTTCAAAGGATTATGGTCATTAGTTTATGTTATTGAAAGGTGTAGTTTTGCCAAATTATGCTGCATTTTGAATTGATTTGATATTTCCAACCTCTTTTAGATCTGAATTCAAATTGTATTTATTAAAATCTTAAGGTTGGAGGGCATTTGGGCAACTTTAATTTTTGAATTGCAATACATTTTTTCGCCTTATCGAGAGTATGTTTGTACGTAGCGGGTAGAGAAATTTATTCAACTTTTGTGGGCTGTGGCTTGTGAAAGAGCAGCATGCCGGGAGAGGTTTTGCTTGTGGCATACTCTTTGTTGACTATGCGAAGAATATTTTATTTAAGTTCAACTAGGCGACATAGGCTGCAACTACCCAACGCGCGTACCAGCCGTCCATTGTAACCTATCTTATGAGAGCGCCATGTAAACACAAAGTTATCACCGCTTACCCATAGCATTGCTGACGTTTGAGTCACAGAAACCAACGAAGTTTTGATTTTTTCCGTAAAACCGGCTCGGCTCATTTTTCGTTGCTATACAAGGTTGCCAATATGGCCTTTCTTAAAGTAACATTAAATAATCGAAGATAATGCGTAGTTTTGTTCAAAAGAAATGAAAAACAAATGCGTAACTAATTATTTGTTACCATATAGATCATGTATATTTGCTTGTGTTTATGTTCAAGCAAATAAATTATGAAATTCGTTGACAAAAATTATGAATTTGTTCAAAAGTGTGCAAACACACAGGCAGCTGGCAACATTTCTCCGCTCTCAGCGGCGTCGATAGCTCGTGTATGTATTTCACTACTAACGTCGTCAGTTATGACGGCTGGTACGCGCGTTGGTTAGTTGCAGCCATATATTACAATATATGTTTATATGTTGTCATGGTAATAGTGTGCATATGTACGCAAATGAATACATTATGTGTACATACAAGCCTATGTATATATGCATGTTTGGCGGTGGATAAAATATGATAGGTTTTTGGTTTGAATAATCCATAAAATTTGATAAATAAATATAATATTTGAACTATGTCATAAAATAAATTGGAAAATACTATGAAATGAAATTAGAAAATTAAATAGCTATTTTATATTAAATAATTGGAAATAGTTTTACTGTAATATTAATTAAATATTTTATATAATATACTATAAATATTTTATATAATATACTATAAATATGTGGGTATGCATGTAAATATGGACATTTATATGAATCACCATAAGGTCATTTATAAGCAACTAACTTCAAATTTTTTCATTCATTCATAAACACAAGCCATTCATATAATCAATCACAAAAACAACTCCATATGCGCAGCTCCATTTACTCCTCTGCGCGCTACTCTAATTAAAAAGCTAATTGCTGTAAAAAGAAGAAACACAATAGCAAGAAAAAAAACTACTGCGTAGAAACCCTCTACCCTTTTACTCTTCATCGACAATCAGTTTCCTTAAGCGAAGTCAAATTTTGCTAAAAATCAGAATTTGATGTTCAACTCACCCCAAAGTGAAAACACATACATTTAAGCATTTTAATATGTGTACAAAAAACGCACACAATCTTAATAACGAGGACAATATTTACAAAAATCAGAATTCAAGTTGGTCTGAAGTTGAAGAAACATACATTCAAAGCGACCAATGTGTATAAGAAAATCACACATATGCCCAAAAACTTGCCTGTTCCATTCCCCTATACCCGCTATCCACAAGCAATTTCATTCCGACGATAGCAAAATATGCAAAAATCAGAAATTCTAGTTGAGCTGAGGTAAAATACAAACACATTCAAAAGGTACCTGCATATACAATATATGAAAGACTCATACATACACAAAAATATGCCAACTTCTTTTCCTTCGAACCCCGAATCAACAAGCAATTCCTTGGCGACGAATTAAAAAGTTTGGCAATTTCATAAAATAAAACGCAAAAAAGAAGCGACAGAAGGATTTGAGCCCGCGCAGCTTGGGCAAAAATAAATCGATGTAAGCCACTGCGCCAATGATCACTTCAAAGTTCCGCTGGCATAATTGGTATTTATTAAGATCGCTGACAAAAGTATTGGCAAATTCTCAAATAATATTCAAAAGAATGACTATGTGTATGACCATATTTATGAAGAACAAATACAATTATAATTTCAGTCATTCATAGTGGAAACTCTAGAATTCTTTAGTTAAAATAAATATTTTTGCAACTTATTTATTATTATTGGATTTTTTTTAATATTATATTTAAAATTTTATTTTCATAGTTGTTGTTATTGCTCTCATTTTTTTAGTAACATACAGGATATTAAAAATGCTAGGTACATATTTAAATTTTTATCTAGCAAAATTGAAAAAACAATTAAATACGATTTTTCTGTTTTTAGCAGAAAATCCATTCCGATCTATGCTAATTTTATCAGTGGCTGTTATCGAAAGTACAGTGAATCCCTTTCACGCAGTGGTGAATCCCTTTCCAAAAGCTTTTCAGAAATTGTTCGAAGGTGGCTCGATGTTGCATCGAATTTGCACCTTCTCGTTATTCTAAGTTCTCTATACTCCTTTGCCCGTCTCGCGTTTTTTCAAACTTATTATTTTAGCGGACTAATTTGCAACATACATATGTAGATACACATATTATCGATTCCCGGTAGAGCGATCCACCAATAAAAACAATAACTTCGCAAAGATATAAGTAAAAGCGGTACTTATACATTTATATTT